TGAGAAATTATTTCTGATTTCATTTTTTCCAGATCCTCTTTTGTTGCCAGTTCAGGGAGTCCAGGTGTGTGAGTATCAGAGTATTCCATCTCATTTCCCTTTGGGGTTGCTGTAGGTGATCTGGAAGTCTGGTTTTGAGACTCATTTAAGTGTCTTCTCATTTCTACCGGCCGGGGGGTGGGGCGGGGGGGCGGTGCTATTGGCATCCATGCGGCTCACCTCCTCTGAACTGGAAGAGGTGGGACAGTGGCTCAGAAGCCCCTTCCTCTGGGCCAGGAGTGGTGGGACAGGTGGCAGCCCGGAAGCCCCTTCCTCTGGGCTGGAAGTGGTGGGACATCAGCTCAGTAACCCCTTCCTCTGGGCCTGGAGTGCCAGGCTGGATGGTGGCCCAGAAGATGCTTTCTCTGGGCCAGGAGGAGTGGGACGGTGGCTCAGAAGCCCCTTCCTGTAGGCCGGGAGTGGTGGGACAGCCTAAGACAATTTAAATAGTCATACAGCTAATAAGAATCGAAGCGCAAATATGACTCCAAAGACCTTTCTTTTGCTATTATAATTTATAGTACTTGTATTTCTTCTATTGTGATGTAATTTATGAATGAAACTTATTTTGCTGTCTCATACATAGCAGGCACTCAACAAGTACCAGTTCTCTTCCTAGATCACCCTCATACTAGAAATCTATCATCAAGTACAATTTTATATCACTCAATGCAAGTTACTTGAAAACAATTTCAAGCTTTATTTCATTATGCCTATGTGTTGATCTTTTAGCTAATTCACTTTTAAAACACTTAGTATGTTCAAGGCACTGTGCTAGCACTAAAGATAGAGAATTTTTAAAAAATGTGTTATTTGTCTGTGGCTGCCATAAATTATCACCAACTGGGTGGCTTAAAACAACAGAAATTGATTCTCTTACAGATCTGGAAGTAAGACGTATAAAATTACAGTTACTGTCAGCAAGTCGATCTCACTTTGATAGTGCAGGGAAATGTCCTTCTTTGTCTCTCCAGCTTCTCACAGCTCCACGTGTTTCTTGCCGGTGGTTGTGTCACTCTGATCCTTGCCTCCATCTTCACATGACTTTCTCCCTGTTTCTGCACTTTCTCCCTTTCTGCCTCTTTTAGGGATTTGTCATGGTTACTTTTCTCATTGCTGACACAAAATATCTGACACCAAGTTAAAGAAAGAAAGGTCTATTTTAGCTCATACTTTGTAGAGATTTCAGTCTGTAGTTGCTGGTTCCAAGGCAGGACAGCATGGCAGAGGAGAAACAGTCCATGGCAGGGTAGGCAGGACTTTATATTCCAAGCAGGCTATTGGTTGGTGCCAACTACATCCTGGATGCGGCTTCCCATTTCTCACATCCAAAATAATGCTAATGAATTGGTGGACTAATCCAGTTATCGCATACCCTTAATCCATATTCACCCACCCCAGATCCAGCCACCTCCTAAAAGCCCCACCTACGAGGTGTTGGCAGTGGGTGGGGGGATACATCCAGTTATAAACCATAATAGGATTCTAATCATCAGATCTAGGACTTATCCAATAATTCAAGATTCTTAATTATATCTGCAAAGATCCTATATTAGGCCATCTTGTGTTATTGTAATGAAATACCCAATGCTGAGTAACTGTATAAAGAAAAGTGTTATATTTAACTCACAGTTCTGGTTGAAGGACTGCATCTGGTGTGACCTTCTTGCTAGTAGATTCCTGAGGTGTTGCAGAACATCATGTTGCAAGGGACAGGGAGCATGCATCCAAGTCTATTCTGGTCTCTTTCCCTCTTATTTTAAAGCCACAGGATTCAACCAGGGGACCTCCACCCCAGTGACCTTATCTTGTCCTGATTATCTCCCAAAGGCTCCACCTCTAAACACCAGGCCCACTAGATTCCCACCCTCCTAATATTTCATAATGGGGGTGAAATGTCAACATATGAATCATTGGGGGGGCATACTCAATCTATATCTAAACCATAGTAAACACTTTTGCCAAATAAGGTCACATTCACAAGCAACAAGGCATGACCATCTCTTTGGGGGGTTACCGATGACTCAATTATAGCATGAGTGTTCAAATGTCACCCATGCCATTAACTCACTTGAGAAAATTACTTAATTTTTTGACATGTCAGTTCACATTTTCTCAGAAACAGACACCATACAGTATCAGATGTACAAGAGAGTTATTGGAGGAAGTTCCCGTGAGGGGTAGAGGGAAAAGGATACAGAAAGGAGGAAGGTGGGTCTGATATCTGGAAAAGGAGAGCTGCAAGGAAGGAGGATTGCTCAGGAAGAGCACTAGACCTTTCAGAGAAAACTTCCGCCAGGCCAGTGTGGCACCTCCAGGCAAGCACTGCCCATTCGATGAGCCCCACAGCCTATAGCAATCGGCCACTCCTGGTACCCAGCTGCACTCAGTCACTGACAGGCAGCAGCCTAGGGGAAGCAAGGCCCCGTGCAAATTTAAGAATGATTCTCAGACATGGCAGTGGGGCTGTCAACCAACTGTGCTTCCCACAAAAGATTCTTTTGAAGGAGATATGAACAGGGCATTTTCATGGCTTCTAAGTGTGTTTTTTCCTCCAGTACTGGGAATCAAACCTAGGGCTGTCACACTGGATTACATTCCCAGCTCTTTTTTATTTATAGTAAGTCCCCACCTTAAAAAGAGTTCCCCTCACGGAGTACATTCCTAAGTCAGATTCATTCAGAGGTCCCACAAAGTGAGTCTTATACACCTTCAACAGAAATATATAATGTAGGGCATGAAAAAACAATACCCACAAAGATACTGTAAATAAGCTATTTTTAAATGGTGCAGTTTGTTTCCATCTATGAGTGTTCATAATGTGAGGTCCATTCGCATCTGTAAAAGTTCGCAACTTGAATGTTTGTAAGTTCGGGACTTACTGGTATTTTTGTTTGTTTTTGTTTTTCAAACAGGGACTTGCTAAGTTCCCTGGGCTAAGGTCAAACTTATGATTCTCCTGTTTCAGCCCCCCAGAATGCTGGGATCATAGGCACATTCCACCATGCCCAGCTTGTATTTTTTTTTAATGTCTAAAATAGTAACAATAATAACCAGTTGGTAACAATGCTGTGAGTGCTACACCAATTAAAGTGCTTAAAATGATGTTGGCACATAGTTAGTGCCCTGTAATTCCTGCTTCTGGGATTTCTCTGGTATAAGCTCCTCCTTTTGAATGAGAGCTGGATTTAGTAACTAACAAATAGACTATAACAGAAGTGACAATGTGTGACTTAAAGCAATGCACAAAGGTTTCTGTCTCCCCATGTCATCACTGATGCTTATTACTTTCTGATTTTTGCTTTTATAATTGTCACCTGAATGGATTTGAAGTGATATTTCATAGTGGTTTGATTTGTATCTCTCTAATGACTGCTGGTGTTGAATGTCTTCTCGTGTGCCTGTTGATCATTTGGATATCTTTAGAGAAATGTCCACTAAAGTTCTTAGCCCATTTTTTATCTAAGTTGTTTGTTGTCTTCACAAAAATTTTTCACAAAAAATTTTTCTTCCATCTTCTGGGTTAACTTTTCATTCTGTTGATAGTGTCCTTTGATGTACAAATGTTTTTAGTTTTGATGAAGTACAATTTATCTATTTTTTCTTTGTTGACTGTGCTTGTAGTGTCATATATAAGAAATTGTTGCCAAATCCAATGTTTTGATGCTTTTCTCAATGTTTTCTAAGACTTTCATAGTTTCAGCTTTCATATTTAACCCTTTCAGCCATTTTTAATTAATTCTGTGTATGGGGTTAAGGTAAGGGTCAAACCTTTTCCTCTTCCTTCCCCTCCTCTTCCTTCCCCCTCCCCTTCTCCTCCTCCTCCTCCTCCTCCTCCTCTTCTTCTCCTCCTCCTCCCCCTCCCCTCCCCCTCCCCTCCTTCTCCTTCTTCCTGTTGTCCTGCCATGTTGTGAGGATAAGGCAACAAAATGGAGGGGGCTCAGTACCTTCAAAGATCCAAGGTGGAGAAGTAATAGTAGGTGACATGCAAAAGAGAGCTCTTTTCTGCCCCAATTATTAACAAAACCTTGCACTTAATAAGGATGAGCCTATCTGAAACAATTCCAGAGGCCCAAGAGATGTTGTGACAATTAATTTTGATTGTCAACTTGATTATCTTGAGGGACACCTAGGGGATTAGTAAAACATACTTCTCAGGGGCTGGGGATTTAGCTCGTGGCACCGCACCTGCCTCACAAGCGCAAGGTCCTGAGTTTGATCTCTGGTACCAAAACAAAAACAAAAACATATTTCTCAGTGTATCTGGGTGGGCTATGGGGACACGATGTTGGGGACTAATTCAGGTCCCCGCCCCTTCCTCTCTGTTGTCCTGTGCTCTGCTTCCTGCCACCATGAACTGAGCAGCTTTGCTCCGCCATGTCCTTCCACCGTGACGCTTCTGCCTTGGAGCCAGCCAACCATGGACTGAAACCTCTGAAACTGTGAGCCAACATAAACCTCTTCTCTTTTAAGTTGTAAGTATCGGGTATTTTGTCCCAGCAATGGGAAAGTTGATCAATATGATGTGTGATAAAAATATACAGTGAATTTTAAATTAAAAAAAAGAATTACACTGAAAGACATATTGTCATTAATCCCCCTCAAAATCCTCCCCCTCACATTGAACACTTACCTCATCAATCTTGTCACTTTTTGAAGCAGCTCTGGAATTTGTCTTTATGAGGTATGATCAAAAATATGGTGAATGCTGCTGCTGAATACTATCCAGAGGAAAGTCAGGCTTGTAAAAACATTATAGTGTGTTCTTATCCATCTTTTTCACTGGATCAGGAACAGTGCAACTTCTTTCTCTCTGACAAAGTCAAAATGGCTATGAAAGGCAAATGTTTTGAATCAATTCAAGACATCAAGGAAGCCAGTACAATATAACTAAAGACACTTATGGAAGTAGCAAGAATGATGGGATAAGTGTGTCTGAAGTGAGGAGGAGTATTTTGGTGGTATTATTGGCAATGTGGGTTTTTTTTTTTTTACTATAATAAATTCTTAAAATTAAAACATTTGTTGTATTTTTAAATCATACAGTATACAAAAGCAAAGTGCTTATGGGCTCAGAACTTGGTTTCTTCTCACCTCTGAAGCAATCACTGAGACAAAGAGGTTAGATTGTGCTGACACCCACGGGAGCAGGGTCTACTCCATTGAAATCAATGGCTGTTACCCATGGAGGAAGCTTCAGGAGGTATGCACAGAAGTTAGAGCGGCAAGCGCATTGTTTGTGACCAGGGACACGGCCACTTTTTCCAATACAACAGTCAAAGCCAGAAAACTTGATACCCAGGTTCCTGATGCTTGAATTACATAGGATAATAAATACTAAAATTCAGTAAAAGAAAAGAATGGATATGGGATACTGTCTTGACACTCTTTGATGACAGTGCTTGAATATTTTTCCAAACACTATTGATTCCAAATAGAAACTTTGCTATATTCATGGAAACAAGTGGAACTGCCTTCAGCTGGCCTTCCTGGATTTAAGTCCCAGTTCTCTCTCCCTACTCTGACTCAACCTCCTCATGCATAAAATGAAGGCAACAATGATCTCTACCTCGTGGCATTGATAGGGGAATTAAGTGACTGAATATTTTGTAAAATTCTTAGAAGAGAATCTGGTACGTGGCAAGTGTTTGCTACATAAAAAATTGCATACTAGAAACTTTGGAGGTTCCTGATGACCTTGGTTTTATCCTCCTTCCCAGCCTATATCTAAATCTTTTTTCTCCTGTCCTAGAGAGAAAACAAAAAATCAAAAGGTTGACTCCCTAACCTCCACAAAATAGATTCATCTCTAGGGACCAGGAATAAATAATTGACCTGATATTGACTAGGTTTTGGCTCACTCCTTCTTTTCAGTGACCATGTTGTTTTATTTAGAACAGTGATTTACAAAATGGTTCCTTGCTCGTGGACTCAAAGCAAATGCCACCTATAAAACGGCCAAGGTATTGCAGCAGTGTCCTGGCTGGGTAGCCTCTTTCGGGTGATCCTAGGCATTAAAAACCACAGGTGATGATTCCATCTGAAATCATTGGTCTAAGCCTCCCCACTCCCCACAGAAATTCAGACAATGATTCAGACAATGGACTGGCATGTTTATTATAGCATAGTTTGTAATAATGAAAAATTGAAAATGATTTGAATGACCAACCATAGGGTCACTTAAATAAGGTCATAGAAAAAAATAGAAAAAATAAATAAGGTCATAGGGTAAGTAAATTATGGTGATGCCATGTGATAAAACTATTCAGTCACTAAAATTCTTATTTTCCAAGAACTTTCAATGACAAGTCATTGTTTTCAGTACAGTGTTAAATGAGAAGGGCAGTAGGCAAAATAGCATAAGGCATGAGATCACAACATTGTGAAAAATACAAGCTCTTACTTACACACTTGAAGACTGGAAGAATACATGTCAGAGGCAAATCAGTGGTTGTCTTGGAGTATGAGATTTTGGGTAGTTTAATCTTCTTTATATTTTCAAAATCTTTCATAATCCAGCTACTATCCTCTCCCACCCTATTTACCCAGTTGCAGATTCCTGGAGGGGAGGGAGGGGAGCAGCAGAGAGAAGAGTGGAGAAGAGAGGAGAAATATTCACACATTCCTGCTACTAAGATCCTGAACTGTCCTAGATTCTTCACATTCTACAGTCCTGGTCCTACAACACTTTTATTTTGACTGATTCCCATGTCTCATCCAAAAAATTTCCCTTTTCCTTAAGAGGGGAGAGTTGGGTTATAAATGAAAGAAAATTAATTAATACTATACTCTAACTGCTTCAAGTACATACATTTTATGTCCTCAAATTGTAAGCGCTTTGCTGCTAAGGACTGTGCTTTTTACTTTCTGTGTATCTGTCAGAGCACAACTAAGCCAGTTATTGTAGACAGGAACTCAGACACTGTGAATTTCTCTCCAATAGGCTGGGATTCCGAAGAGACATAGAATAAGCACTTTGTGAGGGAATACAGGTCACTGAGTGGCCTAGGGGTACAGAAGGGGTATAAAATGAGTGGCAAGTCCTCTATCATCAGCCTTGGAGGCACATTACCAGGGCTTTTCAAGTGCAGAGCTGGCTCTGAGGAGGCAGAGGAGTCCGAGGGCACTGATCCTGTTATAAAGGCATTCTTTCCACTGCTAGTCATTAGCAGCGAGACAGGGCACCGGTAACCAGAGCCTGGCAGAATCCCTTCCTGGCCTCAGAAGAAACATAACTGAGGGCAAGCTCTGCATGAACAAGGATCTGGGATGGTTTAAGGGGCTTTCTGATGTCAGAAAATGCAGGCTCATACCCGCTTACATACTGAAACCTTCCAACCAGGCATTTTCTCTTTTCTTTTTGTAATGCAATGATGTCATAAATAATGTCTATTTCATGCAATGAGTTATCTGTAAGCATTATGGAATATCTGCAACTTCCCCTCCAGAATAATAAAAGAAAATGTAAGCAGGGCAAACTTCAGTGCTTCTTGGGTCTGTCTGTCCCTCTGTCTGATCGAGATTCTGCCCCTCTTTCCCCAACTTTTCTTGGGGTTGGGTGCTGCACCCTTGGGCTGGAATGATTCTGCCCATACTTCTTCCCCCAGCACCTGCTCTTCATAGAGGACACCTCCTCCTGAGAGCCTTCACTGGCCCCCACTGCCCACCCCAGGCTGGGTAACATGCCCTTCCTATGTGTTTCCTTAGCAACCTGCTTGTGGTCTTCACAACACTTCTCACAGGGGATAGTCATGGTCTGCTTGCCCTCTGCCCATGGAGCCGCAAACTGCCTGAGGCCAGGGCCTGGACCTTGCGCACCACTGCCATCACAGGATTGGCACTTGGTAGAGTGCTCAGCAGTGCAGTCAACAAGTATCTGCAGGGGCGAGGGATTTAGCTTAATGGTTCTGGTGCCTGCCTTGGAACCGCAAGGTCCAGCGTTCGATCAGTGGTACCAAAAACAAACCAACAAACAAGCATCCGCAGGATACACCCTCTACGCCAGGACCACTTTAGGTGCTGGAAAGAGAAACTCGCTCTCAGTGCTTGCGGAACTTCCCTTCATGCCTGGAAGACAGACAAACACACATGTAAATATTATTAAACATCTATTATTGTGCCAAGCTCTATTGGAGATGCTGAGGAGATAACAGTGCATCCTTACCTTTGTGGAATTTATATTTCTGATTGCACCACGACTAGCATACAAAAAGGAAGAAAGTGCTACCAGGGCTTTTCACGGGGCCCGGACCTGGTAGGCTGGTGCTCAGAGAAGGCTTTCCTGGGGAAGTGGCCATTTTAAGCTGCAAGACCTGTGGACAGGAGATGCAGCTATGAAGCTAGCTCTAGACGTGGGGTGTGGACGTAGGCATAGACATAGGCTTTTCCGGAGCTCTGCAGAATGAGCAGAATCCGCTGGCAAAGAGGAAGGGGAGGGGAGCCTTGCTGGCAGCGGGAAGGGCATACACAAGGCTGTCTTCGGGCCAGCGTTGTCGTCTAGTGTGCTTGAGGGCTTGTCTGGACCGCAGAGAGCGAGGACCGGAGAGATGGGAAGTCGGTGACCGCACCCACTGCGCAAGGTGTGGCCTCTGTGCGGCCGACCACTTGGCTTGAAGGAGGCCCCGCCTGCAAGCAGCTGTACATCTTCGGGCGCTGGACGTCTGCTTCCTCTACCAGTTGCTGCTGTGCGCTGGTTTCTTCCGTGTTGGTGACGCGGGGCCTGGCTCCACTTCCGCCATTTCGCGGCCGCTTCTTTGCACCACTCTTATCTTACCCGCCTGGAGCTCTGCTGCCCCCGAATCCCTTTGCCACACTTTGTAATGCAGAGTGACATCAGGGATCTGTTACAAAAACATGATAAGCCACATGCAGATAGCTTAGTCCACATTCCTTTGGCAGGAAAAAAAATCCGGTCTGAGTCACTTTCTAATTTTGTTATTAAAAATTTCTCTCTTCCTTACACAAAGCTGAAAAGTTCTTTAGCACGATGACACGAATTTTCCTTGGAGGATTTTCTGTAATCCTTCTAAAATCTACCTTATGCTTGTTGGAACAAACCAGGGAGCTACATTTTAGCTTGTTTGCCTCTTTTTAAAGGTCTGTTTTACAGATCAAAAAACGTCTAGATGCTGAAATAAGCTCAAATTACTTCTTTGCGTTTCCTTTGAGACCCGCAGGCTTCTGAGCGGGGTGATTCACACGGGGCCGAATGCTGGATCCCTTCTCCCCACCAGCTATGAAGCTCAGAAAGAGACAGAGGGGAGGAGAGAGCGCAGCATCATCACAGAAACCAAAGATCGAGAGATCAGGGCGTCAGGGCATCAAGCAGCTATGTCAAGGTGCACAACAAACAGAAGGAACTGGGCAGTGAGGAATACACTTGGGACTCTTGCCTTTAGGGACCAGAAGGCTCTGTCTATTATAGGTGACTGGGGGTGGGCATTGATCAAGTGAAGGTGGACAAAGGTGAGACCACTCCAACCTAGCCTGCTTTTCTAAGCAGAGTCAGGAAAATAATGGATATTGGAAATCAAGGAGTGAGAACATTGATTGATGATGGGGCAGGGAGCATGACTTCCCCAAGCTGAAGACATTTCTAAGCAGTTGGCACCTAAAGATTTCCTGTGAAGCATCTCAGATCTTCAAGGAGATATCTGGTAATCAGATGCTGGGCTAAAATGGAACCACTGAACATACTGCAGTATTTCTTTTTTGAAAATGTGTTTTTCTGGTCATAAAAATGGAAAGTACAGATGAAAAGCATAATGAAAAAAATACTCTAATCTCATCACCTAGGGAGCACATTAAAAGCCCCTGTATTTTTTTCTTTTTCTTTCTTTGTTTTTTTGTTTGTTTGAAACAAGGTCTCGCTATGTAGCTCAGGCTGGCCTTGAACTTAATATGTAACCCAGGCTGGCCTTGAACTTACTATGTAGCCCAGGCTGGCCTCACACTCACATTGATCCTCATGCTTCAGCCTCCCAAGTGCTGGAGTTACAGGTGTGTGCTACCATGCCCAGGGCCCCTGTATCTTTTTTTTTTTTTTTTTTTTTTGGTTTTTTGGATTGAACTCTGGATCTTGTGCTTTCGAGGCAGGTGGCAGAACCACTGAGCTAAATCCCCAGCCCTCCCCCTGAATCTTTTTGAGTTTTTTGTTCATCTGTGTATATGCTGTACTCTCAAGCACTTTTTTTAAAAAACAAAATAGGAAATCATATGGAAGATTCCACATTATATCCTGCTTTTCTCTCTTAAAAACGTGTACTCTGTTCTGTATAATGTATAGAATTCTATATCACTCCTAATGACTCAATAGTATTCAATCATATGCATTTGGAATAATTTATTTAATCCCATATGGCCCAAAATTTGTCTTTTTGAACTCTTAAAATCATTATAAACAATGTTACAGTGAGGTTTGTCCCAATAAGACTCAGTACATAGCCATGATGATTAGAATAAATGCCTGCAAGTAGGATTGCTGCAACAAAGGGCATGTGTGTCTTTAAAGAATTTGAATAGTATTTGAAATTCTCCTTATAAAGGTCAAGCCAATTTATATGCCTGGATTCTGGCTGGAAGTATAGAGGCAGTCCCATTTTCTCAATAAAAGTGTACCTTCCAAGATATTAGCCCAGGGGACACTGGCCATGCTGATTAGGCAGACTTGACAGGACGCACACATCAAAATCTTATTTCCATTTTCTCCCATATTTAGCCAGTCTCACATCACCCTACGCTCTTCCCTTGTTTTCTCTTTCGCATTATTTGGGTACTCATCTGTCTCTTGCATAAAAGGCTTAGGTACTCTAAAGATAAGAAACGTGTCCTATTCAACTTATAGTCTTTCGGGACTAGCATAGAGATTATTTTTAAACATGTGTATAGCAGATTTGTTAAATCAAATGAATTCAAATGTTTAGTTTAGATCCAAAGTCACTCAAGAGATAGACAGGGAATCAGTTTAGAAAACTAGCATTTTGTAAGGTAAGAAAGAGAATGGAAATGAGCATCTTGTTTTGAAGTCAGTCCCTTAGCAAGAATCTGTACCTTGGGTTCTTAAACAAAGTTCTTGACAACGCTGCCCACAGTCAACATTCTAATTTGGTTAGCCCATCCCTTTTCCCTCCACTCCTTCTTTTATTAATCCAGGGTCTTTATTAGAGATCTATTGAGCACCAAACACATCAGTGAAATAAAATGCAGTTGCCACACTCAAACATTTTGCAGAATTGGTGAGAAAGATGAACACATTTCAGCAAAGTTATCGAGCACACATGATGTCCCAGACCTCAGGGCTACAGAAATCGTACCTAGTCTGTGACCTCTCGAAGCCTTCAATGCCATGGAGAAGAGAGGCTTTAGGCAAATAATGGCACCATGGCACGGTTATTGCGATGTATTGCATAATCTTCTGCAAGCAGGAGGCACCAAGGTGTGGTAGGAGGTGAGTGGGCTTCAGAATCAGGCAGACTCAGGTTTGAATTTATGATTTTCTGCTTTCTAGTTTTGTGACCCTAGGCTGGCCACTTGAAGCTTCTGTTTCCCTATGCCAAGTTTAACGTGTAGATTGAATGAAATACGGTGTGTAAAGTGCCCTCTATATATCACCTAGAGAACATTGATAAAGGCAAATGGTTGTTAGCAGGGCATGGTGAGAAACAGACTCACAGAGGAGGGGCTGGAGCTGGACCAACAAAGAAGATCTGGTGTCCCTGGGCACAAAAACATGAAGAAGAGAATCCAAGCCTGGGGGATTGCACATCCAAAGTAGGGGCATGACAACCACTTGGTCTGTTTGGAAAATTACATATGTATAATGATACTGTACCATACATCAGGAGGCAAGAAAGGCGGGAAATAAAGAGCAAGAAGTAGGTAAAGATCATCAGAGGGCTTTGTAGGTCATAACGAGGAGTGTGGCTGTCATCGTCTACAGCTGTGCTGTCCAATACTTAGCCAGTCGCCTACGTGGCTACTTACTCAATTTAAATCAAATAAAATGTACAGTTCAGCGAGGCTTGGTCATATACATCTGTAATCCCAGCATTCTGGGAGGTTGAGGCAGGAAGATGGAAAGTCTGAGCAGCCCGGGTAACTTAGTGACCACCCAAAGATTAGCCAAGCACAGGTGTGGGTGTGGCTGTGGGTGCGGATGATTGACATGCTGGCCAGGAAGCGGGGAAACCTCTCCCGACTCACCGCAGATATACAGATGGCACTAACCAATAGGCTTGTATCCTGGATGGCATGAAAAAGGGAAAGAAGAAGAAAATGTAGCCATTTCGACAAACTCCAGTCTTCTTGAGTTTGTGTGTCCTTTGCTGCCCTTGCCTTGGAACATTGCCCTGCAGGTCTCCAGTCTCGAGATTTCCAACATGAATTTGCATGGGTGACTTTCCGGAGAGCTTCCAGGCCTTCAACCTCCAGCTGGTGCTGCATCATTTGTTCCTCTTCTGTTTTGTTTTTTGTGGGTTTTTTGGGTGCCTGGGATCAAACTCACGACCTTTCGCTTGCAAGGCAGGCGCAATGTCACTGAGCTAAATCCCTGGACCTTTGGTCCCTCTTCTAATGAGGCCTCTGTCTTTTTGGCTGAGTACCTGCTGGACTCTCCCACCTCTGATCCTGTAAGCTACCTAATAAATCCCTCACATAATTACACATATATTTTCTATTGATTTTATTCCTGTAAAGGACACTAACTAATAGTGACTTAGGCAGACTCTGTCTGAGAAATTAAAAAAAAATTTAAAGGCTGGAGTTGTAGTTCAGTGGAAGGGCTCTGAGTTCCATCCCCCGGTACCACAAAAAGAGAGTAAAATTTAGTTCCTGAGTCACATTAGTTAATATTTCAAGGGCTCAATAGCCACAAGTGGCTGCCATATGGGACAGTGCAGACATGGAGCATTCCCACCATCATAGAGAGGACTATTAGACAGCCTTGCGGCTAAGTATTCAGCAGGCCAACATGGTCTCACCTGGGGACTCCTGAGACATGCAGAACTGAGACCCCACACAAGACTGCTGAATTAATGCCTGCATTCTCCAATGAGATCCACCTCTACCCCACCCCACATAATCTGAAAGTCTGCTCTCTAGAATGGGGAATCACTGAGTAAGTTGAGCAGGGACAACATGGGCCAACCCACATTTTAGAAGCTTCTTCCAGTAGAAGGAAGAATAAAAGGAGGGCAAGACCAGGCAATAGGTGGTGGCCAGCAAGCTGCTGTTGCCACATTTGAGTAACATTTCCAAGTAGAAGCAGCCTAGAAAGGTGTGGTGAGTGGGGTGAGCCCTGATTTAAACTCCCCGCAGTCCCAGCTTGAGCACAGGAGGCAGCACGGTGGCAATCGACAGGGTCATGGAAGAGAAAGGCCTGAACCACACAGTTTGAGGATACTGATTAGCAGCAACAAGCTACCACCATGGGAGGTATTGTTTAGAAACATGCCATGTGCCATAGGAGGAAAGTGCAGTGGCAGGCATGAGCCAGGAGGGACCTGACCTAGGGGGCCATCGAGGAACCCTGGCCTCTTCGAATCATGTGTTAACGGGCAGCCCCGCTCTGTGAGTTCCTGCTTCATTTCCCATCAGGGACATGATTAAACTAATTGCCTTAAACCAGGACTGTATTTCATCTGTATAATACCCATAATTTGGGCTTTGAATACAATTGCAGTGAATTATACTAATCACAGGAAAACTTCATTAAACTAATATAGGTTTATTCAAAAGAGTGTAGTTTCA